AAGAAGAAGAAGAAGAAGAAGGAGAAGAAGAAGAAGAAAAGAAGAAGAGGAAGAAGAAGGAGAAGGAGGAGGAGAAGGAGAAGGAGAAGGAGAAGGAGAAGGAGAAAAGAAGAAGAGGAAGAAGAAGGAGAAGGAGGAGGAGGAGGAGAAGGAGAAAGAAAGAAGAAGGAGGAGGAGGAGGAGAAGAAGAGGGAGGAAGAGAAGAAGAAGAGGAAGAAGAAGGAGAAGAAAAGGAAGAAAGAACAAGAAGAAAAAGGAGGAGTAGTACGAAAAAGAGGAGGAGGAGGGATGGAGAAGAAATGACTAGCTGAGGCTGGGTAATTTATATAGAAAAGAGGTTTATTAATATTCGGTTCATGGTTTTGTGGGCTTGTACAAGAGGCATGGCTGCACCTGGTTCTGGTGAGGACTTCAGGAAGCTTCCCATCACGGCAGAAAGGGGAGGGGAGCAGACATCACATGGCAAGAGGGAGAGGGGAGAAAGGTGCCAGGCTCTTGCTTTAACAATCCATTCTCTAATGAACTAACAGAGTGATAACTCACTTACCGTGGGGACAGCACAGAACCATTCATGAGGAATCCACCCCCATGATCCAAACACTTCCCACCATACCCCAAGTCCACCACTGCAGACAAATTTCAACATGGGATTTGGAGGAGACAAATATTCAAAGGATATCAACCCCCTACACACTTTCCTCTATTGTTGACATCTTACATTAGTATATTTGTTACAATTAACCAATATCAATACATTGTTATTAGCAAAGTCCATTCTTTATTTAGATTTCCTTAGTTTTTGCATAATGTCCTTTTTCTGTTCCAGTACTCTATCAAGGATACTACACTACACTGAGTTGTTATGTCTTTTTAGGTTCTTCTTGTTTGTGACAATGTCTCAGACTTTCCTTGTTCTGATGACCTTTTGAGGAGAACTAGTCAGATGTTTTGTTGAATCTTCTTCCTTGGGATTTGTCTGAGTTTATCTCATGATTAGACTGCAGCTATGGGTTTTGGGGAGGAAGACAACAGAGGTAAAGTGCCATTTGTGCCACAACATATCCAAGGTACCTACTACCAATGTGATTTGAGTGTTGGAGTTGACTTTCATCACCTGGCTAAGGTCAGCAGTTTTCTCCAATGTAAAGTTACTTCCCCCCTGCCCCCTGCTTTCCATAAAATACTATTGGAAAGGAAGTCACTTTGTGCAACTCATACTTTTAAAAGGGAGAGTTATAGTTTCCCTCCTCGAACACTGAGTTACCTACATATGGAATTTGGAATTCTGCTTGGGAGATTTAGCTTTTCTACCTGTTTGTTCAGTTATTTTTATCTGTATGGACTAATAGATATTTATTTCATACTTGTTGTTACAATCTGATATTACCTTATTTATTTTGTCACTTAAATTTTTCCAGCTTTGGCCATTGAGTGCTCATTCAGTTAACTCCTACCCCCACCATTTTGTGTGTGTGTGTGTGTGGTGTGTGTGGTGTGTGTGTGTGTGGCGTGTGTGTATGGTGTGTGTGGCGTGTGTGTGGCATGTGTGTGTAGTGTATGTATGTGGTATGTGTGTGGCGTATGCGTGGCGTGTGTGTGTGTGGAGTGTATGTATGTGGTGTGTGTGTGGTGTGTGTGTGTGGTGTGTGTGTGGCATGTGTGTGTGTAGTGTATATATGTGGGGTGTGTGTGGCATGTGTGTGTGTAGTGTATATATGTGGGGTGTGTGTGTGGTGTGTGTGTGTGGTGTGCATGTGGCATGTGCATTTGACGTGCATGTGGCGTGTGTGTGTGTGTGTAGTGTATGTATGTTGTGTGTGTAGTGTGTGTGGTGTGTGTGTGTAGTGTATGTATGTGGTGTGTGTGTACAGCATGTGGTGTATGACGTGTGTGGTATGTGTGTGATGTGTGTAGTGCATGTGGTGTATGTGTAGTGCATGTGGTGTGTGTGGTGTGTGTATGTAGTGTGTGTGCAGTGGGTGTATTGTATGTGGTGTGTGGAGTGTGTGTATGGAGTGTGTGTTGTGCAGTGTGTGTAGTGTGTGTGTAGTATGTGTAGAGTGTGTGTGTTGTGCAGTGAGTGTGGTGTGTGTGTGCAGTAGGTATGTGTAGAGTGTGTTGTGTAGTGTATGTGTAGAGTGTGTTGTGTAGTGTGTGTGTGTGGTGTATGTGTAGAGTGTGTTGTGTAGTGTGTGTGTGTGGTGTATGTGTAGAGTGTGTAGTGTGTGGTGTGTGCATGTGTGTAGCATTTCTTTACTTTCCGGCACTATCAGATGCTACAGGCTCACCTTGTAGTATTTCCTGCCCAAGTCCTATAAACAACAATTTCTCCAAGGAACCTTGGATCCTTTTACTGGAGAATGGTATTAGAAACCAAGATTTCAGTGCTACGTGTGCTTGTTGCTATGGAGTATCATTGCTTCTAGGCCCTCTCGCCTGACAGTAAGGACATATATGTGTGTATACTAGCCCGTGTGGATATGTGTGTGTGTGTATGAAACTTTCTACATGCAATCATCTGCATCTATATTAAGCTAAACATGAGTTCATTCTGGTATCTCCAATTCTAATCTGTTGCGACATGGATCATTCTAGCCTCCTCCTCAGGGGTCATTTTTATCAGAAGCAATGTTGCTTAGTAACATAGCAGACATATGTTTATCTGTTTCTAGGAAACAGAGCTTGACAGTTAACCAAAGTTCAAATTCTCATGCAAAAGAGGAAAGGGTTTGTTAACCCTTCACTTATATTCATTGGTGAGGTTCTCCACTGCTCTGAGGATAAAGAACAAATTCCTTGGCCTGCAAGGCTCTGCAGTGACCTGGCCTGCTAAGCCCAGGCTCACCTCTTACCATGCTCCTTTTTGAGCCCTCCATGACAACCACACGGGTCTCCTTCAATTCTCAAACTCATCACACTTCCTTCTATTCCCAAGGCCTTCCCCTATGCTAGTCCTTCTGCTGGACTTCTCTTTCCTGCCCTCTTTACCTGGCTGCCTACTACTCATCCTTCTGACCTCAGCTCAGTCCACACTTCACAGGAAGCCATTCATATCCCCAAGACTAGATTGGCACCCTTGTTTGAGGCTTGCGCTGTGTATCTTTATTTGGTAGCACTTACTATAACTGCAATGTTACATTTACTTATCATTTTCTCCCACTAGAAGATGAGCTTTTGAGTGTAGGGATGGAGTCTAGCTAGCTGAATAGTATAAAATATTTGCCCATTTTCTCTGTTCTTTATCCAATGACTTCTTATCCAGAGCTTCTTAGGTGTCAGCCCATTTTCTAGTGTCTGATGATACTGCAGGGAGGGAAATGGCAAAAACCCTCCTATCTGGGCACTTATTTCTTAGTGGAGGTGGCAATAAACAAACAGAAACTAATGTCAGTTGGTAAATGCTACAGAGAAAAATTCAGAGTGAGGGTGTAAAGAGGGCTGGGGCACTGCTGTTGTTGAAATGATGGCCTGGAACGGTGCTTCTGAGGTGACATTTGAGTGAAGACCTGAAGGAAGTGAGGGAAGGGGGTGAGTGCTGGAAGTATTAGAACGAAGAATGTCCCAGGCAGAAGGAACAGCCAAGGCTGAGGTAGGACAGTGTATGACTGAGGGAAGGAACAGTGAGTGCTTTAGGGGAGGGCACCCAGCTGTGGGGCTGGAGCTGGGATTTGAACAGGGGTGTGCCAGGGCTAGCATCTCTTTGAAGTCTCTAACAACAGGCCAGGCCTCTGCAAGGCTGGGAGGAAACTGAGGCCTTCCCAGCCCTGGTGGTCCTGCCTAGGGCGAGGTTATGCTGTTCTTGAAGACACAGGCATCTATGATCCATGGCGACTTCCAGTCTCCTGGTTGGAGAGGACTGCACAGAACTTTGGAGGAGGACAGGTCAGGCTCGCCTCATGAGATGGCCAAGGAGCAGGACATGGCACTCTCATTCGCCTGTCCTTCCACATGGCCAACTTCTGCCGGCTCTCCCAGAGCCCTCCAAGGCTGCACCTTCACGATCCTCATCGACAGAAATGGACACAGGCTCAGAGGCCAGAGGAACTGCCCGAAACCACACGATTCAGCTGGTCACGTGTCTTCCCGAAACCTGCACGAATCAGATCAAACCTTTCTCTGGGGTTGGCATGGGTTCCCCAAAGAGGAAATGTCTCCTTGAATTTGGTACTTTAGGCACTTCACTTGACTCATCTTAACCCCAGCCCCATAAAGGAAAGAGGTGAAAGTCACCCCTATTCACAGCTTGTCCAGCCACACCCACCTAGTTCATTCTGGGTGATCAGACATGGGTCCTGTTCTCCAAGAGCTGCCAGTCCGATGGAGGAGGCTGACCCTTAAAGAAAATCACGGCCATCAGAGATAAGAGCAACAGTGCAGGCAAAAGAAGAGCCCAGATGGAGGGCTGAGTGGGTGTGTGTGCCCAGGGAGGGGTTCCAGGAGAGGAGGCCCCACAGCTGGGCCTTGGAGGGTGAGGGTGTGTATGGCCATTGGCAATGCCCCAAGAGAACACCCCTCTTGGGCAAAGCACTCCACTGTCCCACAGAGAAAAAAAAAAGCAGAGAAAAGGGGGAGGAGGGCTCGTCAGATTCTTTCTTGAAGCCTTCAGGTGGCGCCCTTGAGCCATGGAGCCGCACGCGCCTGAGGAGACTGTCCCGACCTAAGGACCTCAGAGAGGATCCAGGGTCCTACCTCGGAGCTGTGTGTGGGGTGGGGGGTGGGGGGAAGGGGAAGTGGGAGAGTGAGGGTGGGGAAAGGCACCTGGGCTTGGCGCAATAGGGGCTTTCCAGCGGTGTGGAGAGAAGCAGGCGGCGGGGGAGGGGTCTTCTCCTGCACCCCCCTCCCGCCCCGCCCCTACGCCCGGGGACCGCGGGCTCGAAGCCCCGGTTCCCTAAGCCCAGGCGCTGGCGATCCGGATCTGCCTGGAGGGGAGGGGAGGACGATGGACTGGAGCCCCCGCACCCTCACCCCAGCCCATCACCCGCCTCCCCGTCCCTCTCCGCGCTAACTCTCCGGGCGTCCTCGCCGGCCGCAGGCGGAGCTCGCTCCGCGGCGCTCGGCGATCCCCGGCCCCCGCCCCTTCCCCTGTCCCTCTGTCCCCGGAACCCCCCCGCCCCCCCCACAGCGGCCGCCACCGCCGCCGTACAGCTCCGCGCGGCGCAAGCAGGTACGTGCGCCTCGGCAGCGGCTCCGGGCCGGGCCGGGAAGGGGGCGGGAGCAGGGGAGGGTGAGGCAGAGGCGGCCAGGCCCGCGCCCTCCGGGCTGCGCCGCAGGAGGGACCCCCGCAGGCGGACGCTGGCTGCAGGGAGGCGGGCAGGCACCCGGGAGGACGCACCCTCGCCCGCCGGGCGCCCTTCGCCCTTCGCCCCCGCGTGGGGAGGCAGGAAGGGAGGCCCGGCACAGGTACGCACGCGGAGAGGGGCCTGCGGGGGGCGGCTGGAGGCCGAGGGCCGGGGGCAGGGAGTGGCGGCGAAGGACAGCTAGCCTGACCTCGCGGCCCGCCAAAGGACATGCGGCCAGGGGACCTGGCCTCCCTGGGCCTCTGTCCGGTCCGATCCGGCCTGGCCCGGCCCGCATCTGTGGTCAAGGGCAGGAGCAGGGGGTGTGGACTGCGGGCCGGAGCGCGCGGGCGCGGTGGGCAGGCGGCATGCTGGGGCTTTCTGCGCGCAACTTTGGGTACACCAGCGTGGACCTGCGTGTGCGTATCTGCGCGCCCCAAGGCTTTGTGTACAACTCGTGCATGTGTCTATCGATTGGGTTTTGTGAAGCTTCATCCACAGCCACTGTGCGTCCGTCTCGCCCGATATCAGTGCGCGCGGTGGGTGGGGTGTTGGGCCCCTGCGGGTCTCTGTGAATCTGGCTTGGATCTTACTCCCAGGGGCACGTGTGTGTGTGTGTGTGTGTGTGTGTGTGTGTGTGTATGTGTGCGTGCGCGCGCGCGCGTGTGTGGTGCGTGCGTATATGTGACCAGTCCTGCCCCCTCTAGGGCTATGGGTACTAGAGTGGCCCGAAGATCTGGGGGTCACACTACGTGGCTTCTGGGTGTCTGTGGGTACTGCCGTGGGAACGACTGCTTGGGGGAGGGAGTGTGGAACTGGAGTGTTCCTTTCAGGACTTGTCTGACTGCAGATGAAATCAGAGAGTAACTGGTGGGGTCGTGGGGTGTGAACAGTGGGCAGGAGTAGCTGTGTCAGTAGGCGTGTTTCTGCTTATGTTTGGGTAATTGGGCACAGCCTTTGTGTAACTGATATCTCTGAACCTGTGCATGAAACAGAGAGACATCCTAACTCTGGGTGAGAGGAATCGTCTTTTTTTCTCTGCCTTCTCACTGTGGCATCCTAAGAAAAAGTTTTGGGTTCCTACAGCATGAAGGAAAGCCCTGCTCCCAGAATTTGGGAGCTCCAGATTTCTTCCGAGGTATGGAGGCATCAATAAGTCAGTCTGGGAAAGGGCTTCCTGGGCCATTCCAGGAACTGAGTTGGGTGGAAGGTGCTGAGGGTGTGGGTGGGGGCCATTTCTGAGCACCCACGTGGCACCCCTGCTGGTCCCTGTTTGTGGCTGGGCACCCAGGAAAATGTTTTTGGTGCTAAGAGTAAAAAGCTAACCAACAAACGCATCTCTTTTTTCTGTCTATTCACTGGAAAGTGAGAGCAGTCTGGGCCCAGGATGGGGAGCCAGACGGAATTCAAACTTATCCCTGCTCTCAAGGTGCTCACAGTTGGTGTGAAACAGCTGGATAAAATGAAGGGTCTATGAGTGAGGGATGGAGTGCCAGGGAAGGAGGGTGAAGTGATGCCACCGGCACGGGAGTATGAGTTTGCTGGTTTGTACATGATAATAATTCTTAGGGAACCTGCATTCAACTCCTGACCCCCCACACTCCCATACATGCCATGGGATCTTGGCCATGCTTTATGAAATGGAGACAGTAATTCCAGATCATGGGGCTGGTGAGGGTGATGTGAGATACTCCTGCGTTAAGTGTCGGGTACAAGGCCCAATAGCTAGTACGTGCTTAGTAAACATTGGCTAAATTGGGACTCTGGAAAGAGATGTAGTGATACAAACAGGTTGTAAATGGAAAAGAGCTTTGTACTCAGATGAAAGACCCTATATGTGCTAAGAGGAGGTGTCTGATGCTAGTCCATACTGAGAGGAAGGTCAGAAAGATTGAAAAACATGTCTTCCTGCACTGAGGCTCTTTTGAGTTTCATTCATTCATTCATTCTGACTTCATTTGCTCATATTACACACACGCATGCAGACACACAGAGAACCACAGTGCACTGGAAAATAAACTCCAGCATGAGAATGCAGAGAATCGTTTGGGGTGTGTGTGTGTGTGTGTGCACGTATGTGTGTGTAGACACACTGGAGCACGTGAGCCATTTTGCACCTGGGGGTCTCTGTAAACTGAGGACTTGTGTGCCTGGGGCTCTGAGTGTATGTGTCCTCAGGCCATCAGTGTATACAAGGGATGATGCAGTTCCGCTGTGGATCAGGAATTACACATGCCAGGCAGGGAAGGGGGCTGAGCTGGGACCTGTTGGGGAGAGCCCCGATTGCCAACTCCAGGTGAGTGTTACAAGGGAATGGGAGCCTAAGGTGGCCAGATTCTTTCATTTTGCAGGAGAAGCCAGGAATGCAACATTTAAAATGTAAAATCTAAAATCTTTTGCTTTTTATACATTTGCAACGAATTCACCAAAAACAAATGAACAGGCCAGGAACAAAACACAGCAAAACTTCTATCAGCCAAATATGGTCCCCGGGCTGGTATCTTTCGGCGGGAATGCATGTGTGCTGTCTGTGTCTGGGGGTGCCTGTGTTCAGGTTCTTGGGTGGGGTAACTCCTCTTGCAGCACGGAGTGTGTACCTCTTCTCACCTCCCCCTCCTGGTTCCCCTCCTATGGTCCCAGTCCAGGTCCCCACCCTTCTGTTTACATAAAGGCATTTGGCTTTGGCCCTCCAGTCTGCTCCTTCCTCTTGGTCCTCTCAGCCATGTCATCCCCGATCTGCTGGCTTCCTTGCTGGACGGCTGTCCTCCACTTTGCCTCCTCCCATCGCATCACTCCTCCTTTCTTCTGAAGCCCAGGCAGATGTCAGCACTTCCCCTTCCAGCTCCTCAGCTGTGCATGGCTCTCGGGCTCCTTGGCTCCCTGGCTTTCAGAGTCCTCTGTGAGCCAGCCCCAGCTGGCCCCTGAAGCAGTCTGTTCCCCTTTCCAGGATGCCCTCATCGCCTTCCATTGCTGGGAAATACCCAATTCATCCTCTGAGATCTGACTCAAATGCCACCACCTCCCAGAAACTTCCCTTCCTCTTGGTTCCCATATCAACTTTGGCCTTTCTACCACCTCCCCCACCCTTCTGTCATCCTTCCCTCATACAACAAGATCCATGGATTACACTGGCCAGGGGCTTGCATTCACTATTTTATGAAATCCTCATAACAACCTTGTGAGGAAGGCATTTTGTTCATTACCATTTTACAGATAAGAAGAAGACCGAGTCTGGAGAGGTCACATCACTTGCCCAAGTTCAAGTGGTGAAGCTGGGATTGGAGCCTGATGTTCACTCTGTCTACATTCCCTCCATCATCATAGGAACTCATTGCTAATACTGGGCACTTTGTGTTCTGAGTCCTTTGTATGGGCTATCTCAATCCTACTCCAGCCCTGTGAACTAGGGGGTAGCAGTATTATTATTCTGTAGGTGGGAAAACCGAAGCCAGACAGGATTAGTGAATTGCCCACAGCCATACGCCAGCTGGTGGTGGAGTGGGATCTGGGCTGGATCACACTGTTCTCTTGTTGTCTTATTCCCCATCTCCCCCTCTGCCTGGCAGATGCCCCCAAATGGGAATCGTGCCTGACTCACCTTCATGTGCTTGGGGACTGGTGTGATGTCCTCCACAACAGGTAGACGTTGCTACATTCAACTGACTTTCTGTTTTCTCTTCCAGCTGCCAAGGGGCCAAGGGATGAGCTGGGGCCCTCATTCCCAATGGCATCTCCCCCTGGTCTGGAACTGAAGACACTGAGCAATGGTCCCCAAGCCCCAAGGAGATCAGCTCCCCTGGGCCCAGTGGCCCCATCCAGGGAGGGTGTGGAGAATGCCTGCTTCTCCTCAGAGGAGCACGAGACCTATTTCCAGAACCCCAGGAACACGAGACTGGGCAGCTCACCCAGTCCCCCTGGGGGTGTCCCCTCATTGCCCCGATCCCAGCGGGATGATCTGTCCCTGCATTCAGAGGAGGGGCCAGGCCTGGAACCCGTGAGCCGCCCGGTGGATTATGGCTTCGTTTCCGCCCTGGTTTTCCTGGTGAGTGGGATTCTCCTGGTGGTGACAGCATACGCCATCCCCCGTGAGGCTCGAGTCAATCCGGACACAGTGACAGCACGGGAGATGGAACGACTAGAGATGTACTACGCCCGCCTAGGCTCCCACCTGGACAAGTGCATCATCGCAGGCCTGGGGCTGCTCACGGTGGGCGGCATGCTCTTGTCAGTGCTGCTTATGGTCTCCCTGTGCAAGGGTGAGCTGTACCGCCGGAGGACCTTCGTCCCTGGCAGGAGCTCTGGGAAGACCTACGGCTCCATTAACTTGCGCATGAGACAGCTCAATGGGGATGGGGGCCAGGCCCTGGTGGAGAACGAAGTCATCCAGGTCCCAGAGACTAGCCATACCCTCCAGCGGTCTTAAGTACGAGCCCACCTTATCTGGCTGCTTTTGCTCCAGTGCTACAAGGTCCCCCACCACCCCCACCAAGGCCTGGGGTTTCAAACTGAGCTCACATAGGGGCCCTGTGGAAGAAGTACTTGGTGCCGAAGGGAGAGCTCGGGGCCCAGTCCAGGCCCCACACGGGCCAGCATCCCACTGATCTGTTTTGTAGCTGAGGTTTTACATACGGTTTTGTTTGGAGGATGGCTTCTGCTGCTAAAAATACAAAAGTTTGGAAACACTGCTCTTGGAGGATGAGATTTTTTGGCATTTCTGAAGATTGGGAGCTGTTTGAAATATTGCCCATCCTGTTCCTCATGTCTTGGGGAGTGAGGGACCTCCTCTGTCCTCATCATAGAGGGTGTTCATTGGCCATGGAGGGGTCCCTTTCAGCCATGTGGGAGGTAGCTTCATGATGAGGGGAGAAGCCAGCACTGGAGTGACCCCCCAGTACCCCTGCTGACTGAACTGTGATCCTACCCTCACCAGGCCTCAGCTGCCCTGTCTTCAAGTGAGAGGGTTGGACTGGATGACCCCTCGGGTCTCTCTAGTTCTTCCCTGAGAATGGGAACCCAGTTTCTGTCTCCGGTCACCCCTCCAGGGGAGGAAGGCATCCACCAGGCACTAACTAGTCTCCCTGCCACTTTCTGGCCTGACCACAGGGAACACCACAGCCAGCAGCTCTCATGGTCTCGGGAAAGAGCTCCCTGGTGGCTTCGGGTTCAGTTCAGTTTGCTACAGCCTGTTTGGTCTTGGGATCTAATTTCCTGCAGTGACACATTTTTACAAAGCCAAGTGCACAGTCTTCCCCAGTTCTCTGGGCAAGAAGGATCTTTCATACAAGAAAGAGCAAGGGCTTTATTTCTGTGGGCATGATGTAGGCCTTGATCCCCTTCTCCTCAATAGTATGTCTCTCGCTCTTTACCTTATTCTGCTAGCAGGAAAAAATTTTTATGCTGAATTTGTAACCTTAATCTCACCATATAGTAGTAAAGTGAAACCGCAGCTTAACTGGGGGAGAAATCGGGCACATTTGGGTGGCCTGGACACGCTGACCACGTTGCCATTTGTTTTTTTCTTATGAAAATATTTCTAGGTTCCTGCAGACTCTCTTTAAACTCTTGATAAGGAAAGGAAGTAGGCCTTGGGGCAAGGAGATACAGGTGTTTGAGGACTGTGAGGCGGCATCCTTCAGTCTGAATGGCCCCAGAGGGCTTTGAGAGCACATGCCTTCTAAGCCACTGGTGTAGAGACCCTACAGGGGTCATTTTAGTGAATCCCCTCCCAATGTAGGTCCTATTTATTCCATCTTAGTTGGCCACGTGGGCCAAGGATCCTGTTTCTCGGGGGTGGGAGGTGGGGTGGGCATTGGGTCTGTAGGGTAGAGAGGCCCTGATTAGCTGTAACTTGAGCCTTCAGTCTAGTGAGTAAAACATCTGGGCAGTGTAATATCACAGCTTCTATGACAGATCAAATATCTGCTCCTGCTGGTAGGTTTTACCAAGAGCAGAGAGCTAGAGAAAGGCTGGAAGGGACAAGAATTGTTTAGCTTGGCTTCCCAGGTTTTTGCTGCGGTATTGAAGAGGTATGGTTTGAAAAGAGCAAAGCTCCGAGATGGTAAAAGATTCACAAGTCCTGGGTTTCCACAGTTTCGTCAATTTCTCCCAGGCTCCAAGCAGGGCACAGCCACAGAAAGTGGCATGAGCTGTTCTAAGTAAACCACAGAGGATTGGGCATCCCAAATCATGGGCTAAGGCTTTGCAATCCATATTGTTAATAATAAAAATATCAACCAAGTCAGATGGGTTGCTGTGATAATGGCAGACTCATTTGGATACTAAACCTGTTGAGTGAATGCCCCTGGGACCATCAGTTTATATCAGTTTAAATGCAATGAGTTTAATTGGGGGAGAAATCAGGCACATTTGGGTGGCCTGGACACAGTGGCCACATTGCCATTTGTTTTCGTTGCCATTTTTTTTTTCTTATGAAATGTTTGATGTTAATCATCACACAGATTTAGCAGCTAAATCTGTTTGATGATTAAATCCCAGGAATCTCAGGTTTTTCTAAGCCAGAGAAGCCTGCTTTGCATTCTAATGTTGAAACTTCTTTAGAAAATGTGTATCACAGATTGAGGCAGTTACTACCTTGTCAGTCAATTAAGAAAACTTGAGAGATGACAAAAACGTTTTCCCAAGATTACAGCTGAGATCTCCCAGCTGGTGGATTAGAAGCAGGTTTAAGAAGGAGTTGAGGAGGAACATGGAGTAGGGTGCTGGAAACTTTCTTTGCAGTCATCCCAGGGGCCCCTGTGGTTACTGGAATGTGCCTCTCCTCCAGCAACTGCCTCTCCCACCCAACATGCTCCTAGGGCCCCAACCTTGCTTTTCCTGGTACATCAGAACAAATATGGATTTTGGAGTCGATAAGACTAAAGTTGGAATCCAGGCTCTGCCATTTACTGGCTGTGTGACCTTGGGCAAGTTACTCCACCCCTCTGAGTCTAGATTTCTCTATCTGCGAAGTGGGATTAATGAAAGCTCTGCCTCAGTGTAGTGGTGCAGATTACAAATAAAATGGAGAACTGGATAATATGGGGTCCAGGAACGAGGATGTTCTCCTTCCTCACCTCAACTGGGGATAACTAGATTAGGCCTTAAACACTGGGTCAACTCTTCTACCTTTCTTCTATCACACCCCACATCCCAGATCAGCACATTTTGTCAGCTCCACTTTCAGATTCTGATCACTGTCCACCCTCGACTGTCACTGCCAGTCCACGTTGCTCATTGCTGTTCTGGCTTTCTCTCTTCCCCTCTTCTCCTCCCTGCCCCACCAACAGGTTCATCCTCCACTCGGCGGCCAGAGGAAGCCCAGAGGGTGGTCAGGTCCTGCCACTCCTCTACTCAAAACTCTCCTATGGCTCCCTCTCCAGGCAAAAGCCAAAATTCTCACCACAACTAGTGGCTGATTTATAGCAAGACTGGTAAAGCTTAAGTGTCTGGGCCTCTCACTTGCACAAGCTCCTTCTAAGGCCCTGAATTGATTTACCTATCTTGAGGCTGTCCCCCTGGACTGTATACGCTTCAAGTCCCCCCAAACCTGGATTCCTCACAGTGGCCTACAAGGCCCCAACCAAGTGGTCTCCTGTGCTTCTCTGACCTCATCTCTCACACCTTACCTGCTTGTTCATTTACCCTAGCCACACTTGCCTCTTGACCATTCCTCAACCTTACTGGGCATGCTCACATCCAAAGGACTTTACACGTGCTGTTTCCTCTGCCTGGAAGGTCCTTCCCCTCAATATCTGCAAAGTCCACTCCCTGACCTCCTTAGGGGCTTTATGCAAATATCTCCTCCTCAGTGAAGCCTTTGCTGAGCACCCTATTTAAATGGCACCCCATCCCACCTCATTCCCTTTTCTCCTTTGCTGCCTTTTCTCTAATCACTAATCATGACCCAGCAGGCTGAGCCTTGTACTTACATTGTCTTTCCCAACCACCGCCTCCCCTACTGGATTGCAAGTTCCATGAAAGCTGGAATTTTGGTCTAACTGGTTCTTGCTGTACTCCCAGTGCTAGAAACATGTTTGGCACATAGTAGGTGCTCATTGTGGAATGAAGGGATGAATAAATGTAACAAAAGCTTCCTATACCTGCCAGTGCTGCAGAGCCATATGCAGAACCCAGGAGGCCCACGGTTCCTTCCCAAACTCCTGGAGCCCTTTCTAGGGGTGAGGATCGGTTGTGCAAAAGGATCACATGCCTCGACGGTGATGATTTTGTCACTGGGCCCTGCAGCTGGGAACTTGGGAACCCATTTGCCTTCCTCTCCTTGGGCCTTGGTAGGGCTTTATGTGGAAGGGTTAGAGGGGTCTCCCTCATGAAGACCCTTCTCCCCCAACCTTGTTGCGACATAGCCAGGGTCCAACTAGACCTGGGAGACATTTGCTGGGTGTTTAGGGACCTTAAGTGTCCAGGCCTGGCCCTTTGGAACCCCAGTATCCATGATCATATCTACTCACTTACCTCAGGCATCTCCCAGCCAAAAATGCCAGCTGCCCGAGATTCCACCACTATTGCTCCTTTCCTTGAGAATAAGCATGACTTTCCCTGGGATTCTCTTTAAAATGTCCTCTCTGCATGTACATATCCATACATACACACATGCATATGTGCATGCACGCACGTGTGCATGTACACACACACACACACCTCACAACTTCCTTTTGTCCGACCTAGCCCCAGAAGCCAAGGACACATCTTGTAAAGCAGCTCCAAGACAGGGCATCCTCTGGATGACTGATGACATTTTCTATTTCTCCATCAGCCACAGGCCTTGCAGTTCCTAGGAGGCCAACCTCACAGCAACAATCAAGTTTCTTCTCCCCAGGCAAGGCTGGTGTCTCTGCATTCTTTCTGTTCCCCCTGCCCATAGCAGGAGGGGGAGAGATGCCCAGAAGCGTTTCTGTCCCGGCATTTCTGGAGGGGACTGTGTGGTCCTGGGCTGGGAACCAGGAGAGCTAGGTCCTGCTGGTCACCTCTTCTTGTGTGTGGGCCTTTGGGTAATTTACTTCATCTCTCTGGTCTTCCAGAGCAAAATTGGAAACCTTCCCGCTCTGCCTTCTCTGAAAGCTGGGGGATCAGAGAGCACAAGCAGAGGGCTTTCCAAAGTTCAGGGCCTGGTACTCTGGAGAGCTTTGAAGGAGCAGGAGGAAAGCGGGGAGGGAGGCATTATGAAGGAGCTACAGGAGATGGGGTTCTGTGTCAGGTTCTGTCAGGAGGCACTCACAGAGTCAGGGAGGCCCTCCATCTGGGCCTGTTGGTCTTTCCTGGAGAATGGACTCCTTTTGACGTTCCCGAGGAAGTACATTTCAGCTAGGGAAAGAGAAACTTGCTGAGATCTGGGCTGAAGTGGTAGGGAGCTTTTTGTCAGTGGAGGTATGTTAGCATCTACTGCTCAGGTATTGGATATCTTAGGGATGGAGCAAAGTGGCGATAGGTAGGATTTAGCCAAGAGATTCCCCAAGCTTTCAAACCTCCCCTTTGAGGGGAGCCAATGTTCCAATGGCCAGAGCCTGGCTAAAGACAGTAACAACCCTGGCCCTTTAGCCCAAAAACCCTCTCTGCCACATGATTTCTCTTCTAGATCAAGGAGACCTGATGGTGCAGAGGGTTGCAGGATGACCACCTTCCTCCTCCTGGAGGGCCAAGTGATTCTGAGCTTTCTGCCTACTTAAATCTAAAAGGGCCTGTCAGAGACAGGGTCCCTTACAGAGTAGGTCCACTGGGGATGGTCTGCCAGATGAGCGTGTAAGTCAGATGAGTCTGACTGCCTGGATGCTTAGTTGTTGTCTAACACCTCTTAGCCTCTGTTTCCTTATCTGTAAAAGGGCAGTGCTAGTAACAGTCCCTTCCCCATAAGGCTGTGGTGAGCAGAAAACAAAACAATACCTGTAAAGCACTGTGCCTGGCACTTCATAATTGATGTCAGCTATTCGTGTTCATTTGTTCACTCATTCATTCATTCACACACAATCTGCATTCCTCCCTGAGCTAGGCACTGTGGGGTTCACACAGACTCTTCCCTTGAGTTGGTCACAGACTGGGGAAACAGGACAATGTAACTGCTGCTGTCATGGGCATGCACAATGGGCTGTGTGTGCAGAGGAAAGATCTCATTGAACTGGGGTCAGAAAAGGCTTTCCTGGAAGAAGTATGGGTCTAATGGGAATCTTAAATAATGAAGCAGTATCTAGTGTGAAGAGAGAGTGAAGGAAAGGCACTCAGGGCAGAGGAACAGCATGAGCAGAGGCTCAGAGGCCTACACGGCCCCACTATGGGGGTGGGAGGGGTGTCTACATTTTGGGCTGGAGTGTGGAGATGAGGTATAATGAAGGGCATGCCTCTGTTTCAGCATCTGTAGAATGGGGTCAACCACAGTACTGAAGTTGTAGGGCCATTATGAAGACTCAGTTCACACAGGGACAGTGCACAGCATGTGGAGAGAGGTTACTGTCAGCTGTTATAATCACATGCAGATGTGTGTGGCAAGAAGAATCTTCTGATGTCATGCACTATGGGGATGACACTGGCACTGGGGAGGCCCGTCTGTGGGACTGTGGACTCCAGTACCCCCAGCCCTTCTCTCGGGGATCCCACTGCAGCCAGAGCACATGACCTTAAGATCCAGGTACTTCATCTCGGCAACCTGTTCCTACCTGGCCTTGGAGCCACCAACATCAAGGTGGCAGCTGCTGCTCTCCTGGGCCAAGGGGGAGGTTAGTGAGTGGAAGGAAAGCTGGCCCTAGGGGAGCAAGGAGGGCAGAGGAAGAAGGTGGCTTCCATACCAGTCTCTTCCCTGGGTGATTCAGTGTCTGGGCCAGTACTGACTTAGTGCCGAGGGCATTCAGCAAAAGCCATTTCTCTCCCATCTCATCTTTCTTCCTTTCCTCCAATCTCTCCCTATTCTCCACTTTTTGATTCTTGTGTCCACATCTCATTTTATTGAAGCCACTCATGGGGGTTAGACACCTACAGGAGAGTTGTTACTACTACTGACTCTCCTGCCAGCCACCTGACTCTGCTCCCGAGAGTCCCCACCCTTCCTCTTCAGATTAAAGCATGGACCAAGTGCAAATGCCTACAGGTTTCCACAGGTGACATTAACAAACTAAGCAGGTGGCTGTGGACAGTGGCAGGATTAAAGGAGAGGTCTGTTTCAACTCTCACTGGCTGTTGCCCTGTGGTGGACGGGCTCAGGGTTACCAGAGCTCCTGATTTTTCAAGAGCAGC